CAAATTAACCTAACAGTCATGTTTTTGGACTGTGGGAGGAAGGCAGAGTACCCAGAGAGAACCCACACATGCTCAGGAAGAGCATGCAAACTCCAAGCAAAAAGACCCCAGGCAAGGATTTGAACCCAGAACCTTCTTGCAGCAAGGTAGCAATGCTACCCAATGTGCCACTGAGCAGCCTAGGACAATATAATGTCATATAAAGACCTTAGGTTACTGTGTTTACACATTTGCCAACTGTCTCATGAAAAATAAACGGTTCCACATTTAAAAACAAATGTATGTGTTCAATCAAATTTAGGTTTGCTTAGGTCAAATCTTAACTAAATAATTCCACCCACATAAGAAACAGCAGAAAAAGGATTGATGGAAGGGTGGAAGATGATGCCTGATGAGGTATGTTGCGCTGTGGTTTGTGCATAGATCTCCTGTGTGGCTGTATCGTGCCTCTCACCAGTAAACCTCTGGAGATAAGCACCGTATAGGTGACCCTGTATGGAAGAGATATGTACAGAAAATGGATTTTACATTCTGTCCACAGTACTCATATATTAAATGTAGGCATAATGGTATTTTCTAGTGTTCTATATAAAGCATTTTCTATTTGAAATTTGAATTACCAAATGCATTCGATTTAGACTTAAATTTTACACCTTGAAATATTTTAAATGAACTTACAGATATCAGAAAAGCATCAAAGCAATGCAGTGTTAAATTAGCTCCTATTACTAGGTAGTCAACAATACCTTTTAATCACATTGCAGAAACATTTTAAATATAGTTCACTTGGTTTTAAAGGGGTGGTAAGAAATGATTTGCAACATCTTAACTCAGATATCGATAGATATAATTAAGTTGAACCAGTTGCCTTAACAGTTCACCTTATTATTAAATAAAATTTACCTGTATGTCATTTAATCTCATATAGTGGAGACCCAGACTTTGTTTTTTGGTATTTATAGGGACAGTTCAAGATGTGTTTGCCAATTTTTTTAAGAGATGACATAATTATCTCTGTCCTTAATCTCTGAATCCAGTGTAATTAAATTCTAAAAATAAAAGGATTCTTAATTATTTAACCAAATTGTTGTAATACTGAGACTAAGTGCTTGATCCGCATAATAGGATGGATTTAATCAACATTCTATATAGCTTTGCTATTACACAATACAAGTTTTTTTTACAAGATTATTATACAAATCTCCAAATTAAACTAAACATAAAAAAGACATCTATGATGAACTGTGTTAACCCTTATGGGGCAGGTGAATCGAGCCAGCATTTAGATATATACTCAGAAAGATTACCGGCAGTTTGGCAATAATGCAAATGAAACTGGCTGCATATGAAGATTGCTTAAGGGTTAAACCTGCATTTCTGACACGCAAGCAAGCTTCTGGGCGGAACGGCTTCCTAGGGATTGAGAGTGACCAAGAGAGAGATTAGTTTGGATTAAAGCAAAAATAAAAAAGGTTGATGCTTGATGTTAGGATGGGGAGGATCAGGGATGGATCAGAGCAAAATCACGGTAACCATCATTACATCATCTGATACTTCCTCTGGCTCCATCTCCATCCCTTCCATAAAGATAAACAGAGCCCATGCATTCTTTTACACACCTGTAGTCATGTTGAATTTATATACGGGCACAAATAAAAATATAATCTGTTTCTAAATTCCCATTTTGGAAATAATATCCTTTTTTATGTCCAGTGCTTTTAGTAGGATTCAAAGATGTATTTTTTTAGTTGAAAGAACTGGTTCAGTCTGGTTAATTGGCACTATAAGCTCCATCTGTCCATCAGTCTCAAGCTGCAACATCTGTCCACATGTCTGCCGAGTACTCAAGGGAACGGACACAGAGTCCCTGTCTGCTTTCCAAATTTTCGACTAGGCATTTAATCTCAACCGAAAAGGATTTGGAGCTGTGTGACCAAATATTAGAAGATAGAGAACAAGTAACTTCTGTCCCATGGGTCAGTTGTGGAAATAAAAACTTAATGTTTATATAGTAATATACCCGAAAAATGAGATGTATAAATGTGGAGCCTTTTTTTTTTTTTTTATCTTAATGGTTTTTATTTGGAATAATTCCCCAATGCCTTTAGTTCTCTTATGCAAGAAGTATACTATGTGTTTTGTCTACTGTATATTAGACAGATTAACAGAAATCAGTTGAATGCAGGAGAACCTTTTTCTGTTTAGCAATTTAAATTATCTCATATTTTCATATTTTTGGGTTGTTTTTTTCATTTAGGGATCCTAAATGTTGCAGATTAAGCTAAAACTGAATACTTTAGGAGGCATCAAGTACATCAAACTAAAAGTTTTCTGTTCTGGTTCAGTTCTCACTCTTCAAACCATTATGTCATGTGTGTCTATTAATGAATGAGGCAATTTCCTCTTTTCCATCTCAAAAAGGAAGAACAAGAAACAACAAATTGATGATGAACACATACTAGAGACTAGGATGACATGCTTGGATTAAGTCAGATTTGTCTGCATACAGAAGAAAGAGTCAAAATCCAAAGTTGTTTAAAGGGTGTTTTCCTTGGGTGTAAGTAATTTTTTTTTTTTTAGCAACCCAGCAAGTGTTCCAACCTAAACCTGATAAAAATAAATGAATTAAAAACAGTAGAAGGAAATTATAGGCAATCAAACCTTAAAAACTTGGACCTAACTTTCAAAGAAACTCTATTCAAGTAGCTCATTAATAAACAATAGAAGTGTTATATGAATCATGTTTGCTTGTTTTTTTGCACACATAATCATCTCAAAATAATTCTGAATATAAAGTTAGGCGTATAAAAAGTTCTGGTCATAAAACCAACCAGTCACGTGTTTTGCTAAGTTTTGGTTGCCTTGTTTTTTGTAGAAAAGTCTTGGTGGTAATTTTATTATTTAAAATCCAGATTGAATGCAGCATAAAGACCATTAATAGAAGAAGTTATGTCAAAATGACACGAAAGAAACACAGAACCAATTAGAGTGGGAAATGTTAGTGTTGCTGATCTGGAATTCATTTTCCGATCAATTTCAAACCTGAGGTTTTCTTTTATTAAAACACATTTCTAGAAAATGAAAATGGAAAAAAAAAATTTCCTGAAGATTTTTACGGTAATTATTTACTTTTATTTTTTGTGGAACTTGTTGGTCTAAATTGAATTTGTTTTCTTTTTTTTTTTTATTCTACCAACATTTTTAAAGGAATACTCTTCTCCTTTATGGGTAACCATTATAAAGAAATTTAGTCTTGAAACCTATTTATATCCTATTATGGTATATTTTCAAACTCGTACCATTTTTCTTCAATTATCCAAGTTCCTCTGCAGTCCTGAGCCTTGTTTCTGTAATAACAGGGCTCTGTCTAGTGTCTAACGAACCATTTCAAAAATGGTTTGGTTATATTCTATAGAATGATTATCCTGCTAAAACATGCAGCGGTGGCACATGTTTATGTTACTGCAGAGTCTAGATATTAAACCATTAGAATTTCAAGTACTGTATGATGTCTTGCACTTTAAGAAGGTTTTCATGATTTTTGGAAGATAAACGATCCCGCAGCATCACTGGTCCTCCACCAGGCTTAACAACAGGTATGGGGCTTTCCCTCATATTCATTCTTTGCTTTACACACAACCGTCCTAGAGAGTTTGATGTAGAAAAGCTTCATTGACTTTTAGACTTGTGGAGTTTGGCAAACTCCACAAGTATGTGCTTGTGATGGTTGGACAGAACAGGCATAACTGAAAAATCAGTTTCCATAGATACCACTGCATTAAAGGTCAATGGATATTGCTGTTTTCTAGCAGCAGGTGTTCAAAACATGTTACCTCTTTGAGTGGTTAAAAGACAAACCTCATGCAGCTTTGTTTGTAACCTTAAATTCTCAAATTATCATTCAGACTGGAGACATGAACAAGATCAAGCAACCTGTTTTCTTCTAGGTATTTAGTCACATATAGAGTTCAATACATCCACCTCAATTAAATGATACGTTTTCATGCCTGTCTCATGTTCTCATGCTATTTTTAAGGCAGACTTACAGAAACAGACATATCATATTTATACAGGTTAAAGAATGGATCATGTATTAGTTTTTTGGACACTAAAAAAAAATCCCATCAAATGTTTCCTTTATTGCAATCTCAGGCGTCTTAATATGTTTTGTCCTGTTTGAAGATTCTCCCCTTTTAAGTTTAGCATCACGTGTTTCATGAATTCCTGGGAAGATTTCAGATTTTGATTCATTAAACCAGTCTTCACAGTAATCTCTTCTTCTCTGCTGAGTTTTATCTTTAAATCCAGCTGAAAACTGCATTAATGGAGCAGGTTTCCTAAAATCCTTCCCTTCCTTTATCCTCTGTTACTGAAAATGTCTGCAGCCCTTTATCCAGACTCTGCCACACAGTTGCAGACAGATTATGTTTTTGTTATATTCATTATGATTTTGAGTCGTAAATAATAGACCAATCTACCATTTCTAGAATAAATTTCTCCTCTTAATTTTATTAAGAGGAGATTTTATTTTAATTTTCAAACAACTTTCTTAGCTTAAAATAAGTCAATACAATATAATATCATGTTTGTAGCACAACCAACAAGTGTTATGTTTAAATGTTCATAAAATGTGCAGTATTTTATCAGATTCAGCTTTCAAACTGTATATGTTGGTGTCTAAATCAATGTTAACAAATGTATGTTTTACATTAGGAGAATAAGCCATTAATCAGACATATTTTTATCAGTAATATCTTTATTTCCAAAATAATATTTCAGCAAACCAATCAAAAATAACTTACAGCATGCATACAAAACAAAACATTTTTAACTGTTTGCCATCTGTTCAATTCTACTACATTCATTATAAATGTCAATGTTTGTGCACTAGTTTGCATAGAATCCTCTTTAAGAAAAGGTTAATAAGGTTTTATTTTCAGTGCTGAATTAACTGTTGCTTTCTTTCGTTTATCCTGAAAGTTGTAAAATTTCTGGCTGATGAGAGATCTTCAAAGTCGCCGTTAGTGCAGGTTCATCGTAAAGTGAAATCTTCTTCCAGTTGTTGAAGCTCACTGGCCAGACATCATTCTGACAAACTCTGGAAGGGAGAGCAAAAAGGTTTAATCATCTAAAGCCCTGCATGGATAACATTTAGGCAAAGTGAAATCATGCTAATGTACCTTCAAAATCTACAGTCCCATCTCCATTATCATCTGCCTCTTTCACGATGGCGTCGATCTCCCTGCGACTCATGTGCTCTCCCATCAGCTTGTTCATAGCTGCCCGCAACTCCTCTGTTGTGATCTCTCCGTCGCCGTCCATGTCGAACTAAAAGAGCAGCGAAGAGGACTAATGCTTAGAGAGATGCTTAAAGTAAAAAGACTTTCTGGTCATTCTTTTTTTGTTTGTTCCACCTCTTTAAATGCGTCTTTCAGCTCCTTCACACCAATCATCCCGGCGGTCTCTGCCAGGAGCTTCGGGGCCATCAGTTCTACAAAGTCCTCAAAGTCGACACTACCTCCAACTGCAGAGGAATGAGTTTTAACAACCTTTTCAGATTTATGTGTTTCATTTCCCTCCATATAACCCAAACATACTATGTGTTTCATCTACCGACTAAGAATATTTCCATTAAGATTTAACGGGGACTCACGGTTCATGTTGATGTTCTGGCTGAGTTCGATCAGCTCCATCTCAGTGGGCATGTATCCCATTGTTCTCATCAGGTTCCCCAGATCCTTACAGCTGATTAGACCATCCTTGTCTTTGTCAAATTCATTGAACGCATCTCGAAGCTCTGCAGGTGTGCAAACACACAGAAAAGGGTGTGAATTTCAAAAATTCAGGGCTTGAAGAGAGAAAACAGACATTACATCACTGTGGTTCACTTATGCTTCAAGAGAGTGAGAAAAGGCAATAATTCCTACAGATAAAAAGAAATGCCGTAAACCCTGTGCAAAATTGTAAAACTTATTTGATTCTGATTAGTAACCACTCCACACCTAAGCTTTATTCTGTCACCCTAAAGACCTCTTTATTGGGCTGTTACTGAAGGAAAAAGACTCAGTGTTTGCTATTGTCAGTTTAAACAAAGTAGCACAGTAAAATGAGAAGATATTTGAACATATGCTGGATTTTTCTGAACTTTATAGGATCTATGCTTCATTTCTGGATATAAGAGAGCTAGAGAGAGCAAGACTTTAACCAGATAACAGGAAGGCTGAGCAGAGCACAGTTAAATTGCTTAATTTTTCCTTTTGAAATTTCAACCTGTCAGTGTTCGAACCTGCTAGACTTCAAAATATTTTCAAGGGAAGAGTCTATATTCTCTGAGGATTAAACGTTCTGAACTGCCCTCCTTGGTAATTAATATATTTACTGGTTAAATACAGTTTGGTAACAACATTCATTTTGTTTTTGTTTCAAAAAGTTAAATGCTAAGAAGGAAGACTAAAAACTCATTTGAATGTGGTGCTCTTATGTTTCTATATCATAGTTTCTAAAGAGAAAGTAGAATCAATTAAACTGTCGCAGCATATCAAACACTTTTAGGAAATTAAAATCAGAAATTAGCCACAAAGTTCAGACTGTAGCATTTTATGATTTAAAAAAGTGAGAAGCAATAACTTCTAGACTTACCATCAATTTCATCCTCAGCCAGCTCTCTTGACTGCATAAAAAAAATGAAATCAAACTAAGTAAAACAAAATCCACTCTTAACAACAATTTAGTATGTAATTCAATAAACTTTTCGCCGCAGCACATTCAAAAACAAAATTTACCAACAAATCCTAAAAATTTGCAATTCAGGATTAAAAAACACCATTTAGACTTCACTGAAAATCTGAAGGCAGATGCAGATTTTCTGTGTCTGTTCAAAACACTCTGGGTTATAATCCAGCAAGCCCTTTTGCAGATGTTTGCAATCATAAAGAGCAGCAAACAAAAAAAATATGTATATAATTTTTTACTTACAATGTTCTTGCCTCCTCGCAAGAAAATGCATGCTGCACCAAAGCTCATTTCTGTGGGAGGAATTTCAGAAAGATATGTTAATATGTTAAAGTAAGTTAACCTATTTGAAACATATTATAACTTTTCATAATATTTCTAGAAGTTAAAATTAAGGATGATGATCATTTTATCAAACTGTAAGTTTGCAAAAACATTGAAATGAGTGTCTCACCTTCCTCTGGTGATTTCTGCTCATCAATTAATCGCATCTCACATGAAGCCTCGGCTTGAGCTGACACCTGCTGAGCAGCGGTGTCCTTCTTCTCCTTCCCACTTCTCCTCTTAGACTCGGAGCCGTCCTTCTTCAGCCAAGACAGCTTTGCGTTTCAATGTGCAGCGCCCTGAGCTGTCTGGCCTGCTGATGCTGATGCTCAGGAGTTTGTGTGAGCTGGGGTTTGGCTGCATCCAGGGATCTATGAATGTATGAGGATATGGGGGAGGAGTCAGTGGCATTTATTGAGGAAAACAGGAGCAAAAATAATGCCTTGATTTCCATAGCCTGCTTTATTAAATGTCTGAATGGTGAGAAAATAGGAATGACAAAGGAATACGCCTGTAATTTATCTGCTATGAGTTTTTCAAACTGGTTTTATTTAGTAATAAATGTAAACCACACAGATTAAGTTAGCTTCTGCTGCTATTGAACTCAAAATGTACCTAAATGTTTGAAGCAATCCAGAATGAGATTGCTTTAAAGTTTCCTTTTTTTTTCGGATTCTAAAACATTTAATTTGATAACCTGTATAATAAGTTTGACTCTTTTCAGAGACAGCTGATTAAAACACCTGCTTTTATATTCTAGAAGCTTATCTAGTAAAACTGTAAAACAATAAATCCATCCTGTAACACAGAAGTTCAACATAAAACTTCGTACTTATAGAGTTCCCTGGTACTATAGATTGTTAATCTGTAGCACACAGGTTTAATTTAAACATTATTAATGCAGGGTAGAGGTAGGCGGATCAATTCAAATTACTGATATCAAAACCAAGTTGATGTCAGTATCTGATCAATACCGTCATGGTAAGATTCATACTTTATTTTTAGATTCACTGTTTTATGCACTGCTTCTGTTTCTTCAAAATGACACAAGCAGGACTGCTCTGTCCCAGTGTGATGTGGGATTATGCACAACCCCCCTATGCTGTGTTTTCAGTTGTTCTGCACAGAGAGACTGGCTCACATTCAGGCTTCTGGGAATTATTCTCTCATTTCTTTGAATACATTTATTGTGCTTTGATAATTTATTTTTTTTTAAGAAAAAAAAACTAGCTCCAAAAAGTACTTGTTGAACGTTTGTTTTTCTGTAGTTTATCAGTTCTCCACCTAAAAATAGATTTAGATTTGATTTACATTCATATTTGTGTTGCAGTTTGTTGATGAACATATGAATGAACATAAATATGAAATATGAAATAAATAAACATTTTACGGTGAGAGACACTTGCCCTGTGTTTACTTGGTATCAGATCAATTCAGTTTAACTCTATAGCGGCAATTCACAACACGTCATCTCAAGGCACTTTACAGTTCACCAGATCATACAGTCAAATTGATTTCTAAAGTTTTCTTTCTAAGGAAAACCAGTTGATTCACTCCCTCACACTAGGCATGCTTGTAGCGACAGAAGAGAGGAAAAACTCTCTTTTAAAAGGAAGAAACATCCAGCAGAACCAGGCTCAGTGTGAGCCGCCATCTGCCGACTGTGGTTCAAGGAGACATAAGCAGAGATACAAAGAGCAACTGTAAAAGGCGGCCCTGTCCAGGAAACACAAAGCCAGGCAGACAAGCTCTGTGCCAACTCCCATGTCAGAGGATGAAGAGAGCACGTCCAGCCTGTCACAGTCAGAGAAACAGGACTACACTGAAAAACAGGCTGATCTCGAACATCTATAAACAAAGGTGTTGATTGCAGCCAAACAGGAACAGACGAGGTGAAGCTACTATGTGAAAAAGCAGAGAGCATAACATTAGAGATTGAACTAAGAAATTCTGCAGAGTGGGAGAATAGAGATAGAGTGAAGCAGAATGATGAAATAGGGGTCCCTATGTCCTCCAGACGTCTAAGCCTATAGCAGCATAACTATAGAAATAGCTCAGGATGACCTGAGCCTCTCTAACTATAAGTTTTATCAAAAAGGAAAGTTTTAAGCCTACCCTTAAAAATCATGCTTTTGGTTTTAGTTTTATAATTAATTCTCATATTTAGTTGTAATGTATTTTTTCCATCTCTGCTTATCTTATTTTCAACCCGGTTGATAGGTTTTTAATTCTCACTTCCCTTTTTCCTTCTGCAACTGACTCTGCATTTGAGCAGACTGGTTCTCATTACTCTTTTCTGGTTTATTCCATTGTTCAACCCTAGATTAATATTTCCTCTAATTGTTTAACAGTCCTTTATACTTTATGGATGGAAATGGAAAAAATGTGAAAAAAAACTCAGAGCATACCAAAAGCAAGACGTAACTAAACACAAACACACAGGATAATGAAAACTCAAAGACCTATCACGGCATTATGATTGTTTAGGTTTGTACACATTCTAAATGTCTAAAGCCTTTAAATGTACATGTTTCCTTCGAAATGTGTCACAACAAATCAACAAAAGCATATGTGGTTCTTCTCCATATGGTGTCCTCTTAGAGACAATAATGTAAACCAGATCTTGGATGTATTAAAGGTTTATAGGTCCTGACATGGTTTTATCCTATTGTACACTAATCTGCCACAGTATCTGTGAGGTTTGAGTTACTGTTTATTCCTCACATCTCAGGGTCAGACAGCATGCCCTGCAGTGGACATGTTAACGGCAACCTGTCTGAGCTAAGACTCTGACTCGCAGAGTCACGATGGTTTGCAAGTCGTCTGAAGCGAACGTCTTCCCTTTTCTGCCTGCCTCTTCTGTTATGTAAATTCCTCTGAAATCTGTTTGCATAAGAAGCTTAATGTGGTGTGCCATGCAGACGGACACTAATAACGGTTTATTATCTGCTTTTTTTTTTTCTTTGCAGTGGGCCAGTTTAGAAGGTTATGCAAGGCCAAATCCCCAGCTGTGGAAAGATGTCTGTGAAACAGGGTTGAAGGTATGGGTGACAGAAAACTTAGGAGAAGGGAGGGATTCAACTGGGTGGTAAAATGGTTTAGTATCAGTTTAATTCAGGGAATAAGGGAAGCAGTGATAGGTCAGACAGGAGCATATGATGGACAGTTACATCATATAAAAATTCTTAACTAAAAAAAAAATGGATTATAGAGGTTTTAAAAAGAATATTTTACTATTTAAAGGAAAGGAGGAAACTTTACAGCAGCTGTTTGGATATTGGGGTGTATCACAGGCTGGTGAACGGCTCAGCATGTCAAAGTAAATTGAGATGCTCTTATGTTTTTTGTGCAAGCCCTATCTGCTGAAATTCAGGAAAAAAAGAAAAAGAAAACATACAGATTACACCTTGTGGATTACATAAACATGCTATAATCCAAACATGTCATATGTGTTATTATGCTGACGTGTGTCTGAGATAATTTCCCATCAAATCATTTTGACAGCTGGGAATATCCAGCAAGGAATTACCTTTAAATCTCCCTAACTAGTCACAGAGGTAATCACAGAGTTATTCACAGTAAATTAATAAATGATGATGTTTTCCATTATGCAACAGCTTAGCGGTATAGCATTTTATTCCTTCTTGGTAAGCATTACATAATAATCTGTTTTTCCAAAATACAGAACGCATTGGAATATGGATGGATTTACGACCGGATATTTGTGTTAAATGACTTTGAATTATAGTGCACCTATTTAGCTTTTTGTTGCTTTTTTGTTTTTTCGTCAGGGGACTCAAAGCGCTACACTCAGGCATTCACACGTTCACACACTGATGGTGGCAAGCTACGTTGTAGCCAAAGCTTGTCTGGGGCACACAGACAAAAGTGTGAGCGCAGTTGTAAGAGCTGATGGTGCAGGGGTCCATTCGGCCATCCGATGGAAGGATTAGGAGCAGTTTACATTTTGTTGTGTTATACTATAAAGATGTGCTTATTAAAGACTGTGTGAACAAAGAATAGGCAGCATTCTGGCCATTGCACATGTTAGTCTTCATATTTATTTATTTCAATTAACTAGAATGTACTTGCAATGAGGCTAGATTAAAGCAACTTTAGAAATAAAAAAGTTTTCGAGCAGGCATTTAAGATTATTTTCATTAAGCCTTTATTTCCTCTTTGTCTAAAGTACTTTACTACTCCTTTATGTCATGCTTTCATTAGCTGTGAGTCATAAGTAAGAGATATAAATGATTTAAGGAGGACCAGTCTTCGTTTAATTGAGCTATATAATGTACTGGAGCTTGTCTGCCTGGCTGTGTGTTTCCTTGACGCGGCTGCCTGGTTGACAGTTGCCTTTTGTATCTCTGCTTCTTTCTGTATCTCTGCTTCTGTCTCCTTGAACTCCATTCTGCCTCAGCAGATGGCAACTCACACTGAGACAGGTTCTGCAGGACATTTCTTCCTGTTAAAAGGGAGTTTTTCCTCTCCACTGTCGCTACAAGCATGCTATTCTGATGGAATGCCTTAGAGTCAATGAGTCGATGCAATCAACACTTTTAATCAATTTCACTGTATGATCTGGTTGAATTGTGTTAAAGATAGGCTCTGTGTATGCACATTGAAGCAATATCTCTTCAGTTCCTTACCCTGAAAAGAGATCACTCTGACAAAAAAACTCTTTGAATAACACTTTATAACTTATATGTAAGAAATAACCAGGAGACATGACAACAGATTATAATAGAAATTGTACCGTAATCTTACTCAGATCAGAGAAATTGCTTAGAATTTACAGAATGGCAGCTGCTCACCTCCGGGTTCACCTCTCAGGAAGTGGCTTTGATTAACTGGTTTTCCTTAGATAGAAAACTTTTAATCAATTTGACTGTATGATCTGGTTGAATTGTAAAGTGCTTTGAGATGACATGTGTTGTAAATTGTTGCTATATAAATATATATACACTCACCGGCCATTTTATTAGGTACCCCATGCCAGTAACGGGTTGGACCCCCTTTTGCCTTCAGAACTGCCTCAATTCTTCGTGGCATAGATTCAACAAGGTGCTG